GCCCTTTCGGCTTCAACTTGGTTGGAACTGTTGAGCGGGCGACGCAACGTTAGGGCCTCTCCCTATATAGTTACTCCAAGCTTGGCACCGATTGCCATTTTAACAAGATATCTAGTGGTAGACTGGTTGAGATTAGAAACAAAATGTGGGAAATCTTGACTCATCTAGAACTAGATCGCTGTCTAACTCGATTGCGGGGGGGAAATCGAGACGTCAAGGACCCTATTGACGTACAGTTTTTTTTATACCCGATACTCCCCAGTCCGTGGGCCGCATCAGACCTTAATTCACAAACATGGTGTAAAATTGAGCGTTAGCCTTTTGGTCACCGGGCTATTATTACATCTGGCGATACCAAATTTTAATATTTTGCTGATAGGCCAAAGTAGAGCAGTTCCTATGAAGTTTCTCCTGACGGTTTTAAACTATATTTCAATTTTTAATTTTTTAATTCTTTTTTTTTTTGGGGGGGGGGGAGGGAGAGAGTTGTTTAGGGCTTAAGTAGACCTTTCTCCAATTTATTCTCATGTTGACCAAAGTTTTAAAATAATAGCATTTTCTTAATTGGCGCAAGTCATAAGCAAATTGCGTTAAAACGCTAGTAATGGGCCGAACTCTCAGAGACGTGTGAGGGATGGCAGAAGATATTTGGAGACGTCTCCGGCGAGCACCCAGGAACTATTCGGAGACACACTCTGACTCCTGCTCACGGATGCACTGCTTCGGGGGGTCAGACTGCGTATCGTTTGCTGCAGATCACACATAGCCACTAAAACAGTCGCAAATCAATTATGTTCAAGAAAACTTCAAACCTGACAGCAAATCAAATTATGGGTTAAAACAGGGGGGGGGGGGGGGCATTTGCCTCCCCCGATTTTTTACTTGATCAAGAGACACCAAGCATTTTGATTTGTGTATCTCCGTCGGAGATGTCTCGGAATTTACGAATAGACACTGCGGTCAGTGGCGGTGGGTAGTGAAGGGCTTACGGGCTTGAGCCCCTCACCCCCACCCTGTCCCCACCCCAACTCTATCCCTTGGTTAATGAAAGTTTCTTAAATAACGAAATAAGCAGTTGAAACCGTTATGATCGCACACAATGAACACACAGTTATCAGCTTGGCGGCTTGCCCGTTTATCCAATCATTGTTGTCACCGCTTAATAATAATAGATAGCATTTGTATAGCGCATATCCCCGCTCAACAGCAGGCTCTATGCGCTTTACACTATATTATTACCCCAGCAGACCATAGAACACTCCAAATATTCTCAGCTTCCCAGGAAGCATACAGTGTGAGCAGCTTAAATGCTCAAACACTAACAAACTGACAAGACCTTTCGCTGTCTATAGCCGGGTACCCATTCCCACCGGGGTGAAGTGAGGAAAATTCGTGTAAAGTGCCTTTCCCAAGGACACTTGAATGCGGTGTGGGGACAGATTATCAAACAACCTCTTCTCCCAGCGGATGCCGTGCGCCGGCTGTACTTTGTAGGCCTTCCTCTAGCGACCAATTTGCTGGCGGTTATAACGGAGCAAATACACATCAATTTAAAGGACCTTACAATTCAGATCATTGGCAGATGGCGGACGTCGATGCAAAGGCGTCGTTTATTTTTTAACAAAAAAGGTGTTCCTTCGAGTAAATTGGCAAAAACTGGCGGTAAAAAGGGTTATTGGTACATGTATATCGGGGGTCGGTACTACAAGGTTTGGCTGTATTTTGCCTGCGGGCCGAGGTGGAGTGGGAGAGAGATTTTCGAGCAACTAAAGAGTGGGTGCCGTGCGCCGTGTGTTGTGTGTACCTCCGGGGGGGGGGGGCAAATTTACTTTCGTTTTATAAGGACTTACAACCCAGACAGATGGCAATGCAGAGGTGCAAATAATATGTTTAAATAGGTGTTCTTTTTCCTATACTGACAAACCTGGCGGTAAGCGGGGCGGGTTTTAGCGAGGTTTTAGTTTTATTTGGGGGGGGGGGGGGGGGGGCTGCCTCTTTTGCCTTCTATTTTGCCAGGAACTAAAAATTTTCATAAACTTTATGTGGAGTTAAAGGCCCACAGATTTGCATAAGCAAGGCCAAAAATATACGTATTGCATTATAGGCCGGGTTTGAAGACAACAAATTGACAGACAAAATGCAACATGTTGAAGCTACTAATAAAACAAAAAATTGACGGATGGGCTTATTATACAAAGTCCAGCTTGCAGATGTTGCCTGGGGACAGCCGAGTTTGTTGTCGCATGCTGCATTCTATCCGTTAGGACGGCCGGTCCCAGCTAGTACAGGAAATGAGTCATCGCTCCCGTCGGGCGAAAATCAACTAAAATGTCAAAAATTGATTCAAATCGCATGTTTAAGGTTAGATGAGCTCTTCGTATTCGAAAACCATTTGATGCATGCATGGAATTTGCGATTTCCAGCGTATTTAAGACTTTTTAAAAATCACAATTAACAAGGTCTGGGGAGCACGTGTGTGGCACATTTATATATTATATTGTTGTATAAAATGAGGTCAATTCCCGAAGGCGACAGAATGGCGGGTGCAGTTTGCTTTTAAATACTTCAACCGCCTTCAATTTGTAGACACCAGGCGGACGGAGATAGTATTATTTTCGGCCTTAGTCTCCTGATCATCCAAATAGTTTTATTTATTTTAGCTGTCATTGAGATGTTTTTTACTTTCGCCATACATTCTTATTACTTCTTTTTATTTATTTATTTATTTATTTATTTATTTATTTATTTATTTTATTTACTTATTTTATTTATTTATTTTTGTCTATTTATTTAGTCATTCATTCATGTATTCTTTTATTCATTTATTCACTTATTTATATTTTGTACACAAATATGACATTTAAATATAGGACCCATGACGTTCACTTTCTGTTACAAGAATCTAGAAACAGTTGAAGGTCCTTTTCTGATTCCGCAGTTGTATTTATAATGTTGTCGTCGGCATGTAAGCTTATGTACGTGCGGATCTGCCTATTCACTCACTTTGAGGCCTGAATTTCTTCTTTCTAAGAATCGTTTCATTGTATACAATGTACATATATATATATACATGTTAAATAAAAAGTTTTGGTGACATAACACAGTTTTGCCCCAACTCCTCTGTTGCCCCAACTCCTCTGTTGACCTGTTTTACATTCAACAATATTTTATTGAGTCTACTCCCTATAGCTATTATAACTATTATTATCATGTCTTCTCACTATCATAGTATTTTGGACATTTACAAGTTATATTTTTTGGAAGAGCTAGCCCCTGTCTGCAGCCTTTCAACTGCTACCCCTTAAAGTTAAAGTTCTTGGCTCATTCTTACTGCTGTCTTTCAGCCACACCCTCTTATGGTAGGTAAGACCTAACACCTAGCCGTCTCGGATAAGGGCGAAAAATATCGGAGGCCCCGTGTGCAAGTTGTGCAGGTTAAAGATCCCTTAGTGGTCCAAAATCGACTATAGAGTAAACTGAAAATGTTTAATATGATCCCACGCGCTCATATTATGACCTTAAGCTTGTGCAGTTGCAAGCGCCGTAAAACATTTAATTACCCTAAACAACAACAACAACAACAACAACAACAACAACAACAACAACAACAACAACAACAACAACAACAAAAACCCAACCAACAAACAGAAACGGAAACCTGCCCAACCCGGAAACGAGAAGAGAAATTTCCTTTTTTTTTCTCACAGAGCTTTGACCTGTTTAAGACGAAAAATGTTTTGCCCGCTCAGCCCTAATTTCAGACAAATGTCCAAGTTTGGCTCCATCCACTCTTACGCCACGCCGCCAGGCGAGGAGGGGAGGAGGGGGTGGGAGTAGTTGTTACCCAACGCCTACTTTGTTGGTCAAGGACTAGACGCTTCGAGTAAGAACGTCTTATAGAGGTTGCTACGCTAGCCTAGGAGTTACCTCATCCATGTGAGCCCAGAGCGGCGCAGAGAAGGTCAGAGCGGCATGGATGTGAAATCTCACTATTATTTTGCTCGAGAAAGTGCTCGATTGGCGCTCCAGTACGGAAACTTACCTGGGTAAACAGAAGTGTGAAATTAATTTTACCAATGCCTGCCGCCCTGATCGTACGGCCGGGCGAGAAAAAAGTTCCTTGAATTTGAATAATGCACGGGAGAGGTGGCATTGGTTCATTGGCCTCTTTTGTGGGTTTAAAGGTGGAAACAAACCGAGAAGTTCAATCATTTCTGTTTTTAAATTGGTCAAACAGTGGTTCTTATAAGATGCCAGCACCGGTGTCTAGGCTAAAACACGCAATATATATAAGCACAAACGTAATCCTTAGAACTGAGAGAATTGTAGAAATAGTTTGAAAAAATAATATAGGCTTAAGTAGTGTACTTTCAAGGGCAATTATAACAATACAGAGACTGGGAGTCTGGGAGACTGACCACTACAGAGACAAGACTATAATGTAATACAAAAACTAAAAGTCGAACCTGCCTTAACGGAAACCTGTGTAAAACGGAAACCTGTCTTAACGGAATCTCCCCGCTCCCCCCTTGATATATTTCTCTTTAATGACCTGTATAAAACGGAAACCTGTCCAACGCGGAAACGGAAAGAAAAATCCGCTCCCTTCCGAGGGTTTCACCTGTCTAAGACGTAAAATGCTTTCCCCGCTCAGCCCTGATTTGAAACAAAACTCGCAAGTTTGATTCCGCCGGCTGGGCGAGGAAGGGGAGTAGGGGTGCAATGGGGGTAGAGTAGAAGTTACCCTATGTTACCCCATCATGTGAGCACTGAGCGCTGCAGATGGTCAGTGTAGTGTGGGTGTGAAATCTCACGACTGCCCGTGAGAGTGCTCGAGTAGCCAGCCACTACGGAAACTTTCCTGGGTAGCCAGAAGCCAGAGGTGTGAAATTAGATTGACCAATGCCTGTCGCCCTGATCGTACAGCCAGCCGAGAAAAGAGTTCCTCGAATCGTTGTTACATGATGGCAGTGAGGGGTGGCATTGGTGGGTGGGACTAAGGGAGATGATCAAACGTTTCTGTTTTTTAATAGGCCAAACAGTGGTCCTATGAAAGGCAAGCACTGGTGGTAATTGGATAAGTAAGACTGACGCATGTCACTATCAGACAGGATAGCAGCTGAGAGGTGTGAAATTTTGACCACTGCTTGCCGATCGGACAAGCGATCCTTGATCTCACCGGCTGGGCCTTTGAACCCCCCCCCCCCCCCCCCCCACAAATTTCTTTTTTAAAAAATTAAAAATTTAAAATGGCTTTTTTCTCCCCCGCTCCCTTCCGATTCCGTCTTACACAGGTTCGACTGTACACACTAATCGGTTCTTCACAGCGAGAATGCTCCAGCACCCCTTTTAGTGCATTTGTGCATCGCCGCTTTTCGCATTAATGATCCTTTCTTCTAATCTTCACCTCACCCAGTTGCCCAGGACTCACTGTGGACGTAACAGGTCTTCGATGCAAGTCTCCCGTCTCGGTTACGTGGCCTGCCTAGACTTGTGGCAACGATAAAATATTGCGTGTAAGACCGACAGCTAGCCAAGGAGTTTAGGACTACTTTTAATCTCCTTGCAGCTAGCCTATACATTACGTATACTACAGGCATGCATGCCAGATCTAATTTATCAGTTGCCTGAGAGGACACTGTGAAGGTGTGAGGTTTTCATGCCTGCTTGTCGACCACACAAACAATCTTTGATCCCACCGCTTACTGGTGGGACGTCAGCGCCCACGGAATAATTTTTTTTTCTGGCTTCATTACGATTCCGTCTTGTGAAGGTTCTACTGTTCAAGACTTACAACTAAAAGTATTTCTTTCGTTATCCTTGCTCTCGTCATTTTCCTCTAGCACTAGATCTACTTCTTTTGTTATGTTTTGTCACTCTCTTGTGAACTGCTATTCCCGGGGTGTATCGATAGTCGAAGCCGGTCGAAGCAGACTGCGCGCTGTTCAGGCAAAAGAGAGGTGAGCAGAGTAAGTCTGATTTGGACTTTTCTGTTGACATCTACCCCTTGGCGCTCATATTTTAAGACCCGAGACCCTAATATGTTGTTGCGAGCGACGTAAAACCACGACCGAGTCGAGCGATCGGCCGATCCCATCCGTAGTCGGCACCCCGTATTAACGGGGGTAATTCCCACTACGGCTGGATCAGGCCGATTGCCCGACTCGGTCGCTTGTAACTGAAAACAAACACGTCTGTCATTTTAGGCGAACGAGTTGGTCGATCGGCCCATCCGTAGTGGGCACACCGTAATTACTAGATATAGAACTAAACTTCCATGGTGGCGGGCAACAATATGGTCTCTGGGGAACTCGCTGTAGATCTAACAGGAACGGCTAAAACTGTATCATAAAACTAACCCAGCCCCCCACTTTAACTCAATATGGCACAATAAATGAATGAACAAAAACACTCGATCATACACTTCTAAACTGTGGATTTGACCCTGCTTTACAACAGTAAAAAATCAGGTTTTAGAATATTTTTATTTTTGAGTTGGTCCTTTAATTTGTGCCACACACAATCGTTACAATAATAAAATGAGTTCTTGTTCAGCTTTAGTAAAAGTGTTTTACAGCGCTCGCAACTGCATAATGTCATATGAGCGCACGGGCACGGGACCTATTAAACATCTTTAGTTTTGGTAGGGATTAATTTTGAATTTAGCTCGAGTGGCGGCCGAAGTCTACTCTTATCGATTATGGACACAAGAAAGTGGAGATGAAAGTATACGACAGAACATGGTTAGGTGTTGGAAAGGAGGTGAAAAGATAAAATTTTAGAGAAGAAAATTGTCCGCCGCGATCAGGTCTCGAACGCAGGACCTATTGAATGAGAGGCAAACAGTGAATAGTGCGTGTATGTAACCTCTGGACAGCAATTCCCCACCAAGACCCAGTTCTAAATGAGAATTGTTCAAAGATCTAGATCTAGCAATTGTTGATTGAGTGTGGCTTTATACTTGTTGATTCATCCTAACCAAAATTTAAAAAAATAAATAAAAAAATAAATAAATAAATATCAAAATCAAAATCTAAGGGAACGTTAGATAATAATAGACGATGCTTGCCTAATTAATTTCACATAATAGGACAGGTTGTTGTAGACCTCATAAAAGATACAGGCCTCTATATCTCATGGCTTCTCTACATAGTTAAGGTTCATGTAAATTGTGTGTGCGTGTGCATGTGCGTTTAGATTTGAGTGTGTGTGTGTGTGTGTATGTGTGTGTGTGTGTGTGTGTGTGTGTGTGTGTGTTTGTGTGTGAGAGAGAGAGAGAGAGAGAAACTCTCACTACTTCGCTTACCTGGCAACCCCTGCAGCCGGGGCACGCCTCTGTCTCCTTTTCTTCCGCCATTTTACTGCTTCCGGACCAAATATCGACTAAACAGAGATTTTGTGTGCAGTTTGTGACAGAATTGTACAGATTGAAGTGTTCCTAGGACAATATTGCCTTTCAAGGTATCGAATTATTTGAGTTATAATTTAATTCTGTTTATTCTGTGACGCATGGCTTTCATGGCCGTGTACACACGCAGAATTATTATTGTTCTTTGATACAAAATTGGCGTTCTGACTAGACATGGGATGGATGACAGCAGTCCGCCATTTTATATTTAGATCTAGAATCTAGTGAAATTATTTCCAGCTATCATGGTACTACGTTACCTAGCCTACACTGATTTTGGGCAACGTTTTGTCTTGTGGATTTAATCACTAACACATATTTCACCCAAAGAAGAAGTCTGTTAGCATCCACAGGATCAACACTCATCATGAATTATGATGTGATCTTGACGCCTTTTAAAGAGACTTGGATTTGGATGCACGTGACAATGTTATTTGGGCCATGGGTTATGGACTCACCTTTAGGTTAATTTAACTTGTTGTGATTGTTAAAGCCTTTTCTACACAGAGCTGATAAAGCGGTTGATTTTTACTTGCACTCCCACCAACAGATGCAGCGATCTCTAGCCACAAAAACCATTGTCATTGACATTGTAAATCATTTTCATTTTTATTTCAAGAAAATTTCAACCTTTTTTGCCAAACTTAAAACTATAGTCTATATATACTGTAGGGAAAACAAGGAGCGTGCCCTTGACCCCCCCCCCCCCCACCCCCAGATTGGTCAGAGTCAGAGGTGCAAAAATTTGTAAGCTCCATAAAGGCTTTTAAAAGTATATATAATATATGAAATATTGCTCGAATAAAAACCATCAATATTTTTCAAACTAATCAACTGTGACGGATACAGTTACAGTCAATTTGTTAAATTAACAAGAAACATACACATACATGCTTTCTGCCGAATAGCATGCGATGGGAGTGAAAGTAAAATAATATATACAGTGATAGCATTGCTGTGAAGTAAGTACAACTTTCAAGTTTTGTTTTGACAATATGCATTGAACACTTGACTTGATCTAGTTAAGTCAGAATTATTTTGAATTCATGAGGCAAGTTCCAGGGAGGTTAAATGTATAGCATGCTCTGTTCCACACATCTATTTAAGTGATTTCATAAATTTGAATCATTACATCTGATATATCTTGTATAGGGTGTCCAGGTGGCGGTCATCTGGCATTCTAGTTCTAGCCCGTTTTTACCGTTTTTTGCTTTTTTGTCGTCGGATTTTGAAAGAAAACCTTTCAGTCTCACAGTATCACCATATATATATACAGTAAAATACGTTTTAAATGAGATGTCAACACAACTTTGAAGGAGCAGTTGCAAGATCTATAAATGGTTGATGATGTTAGATCTCTACTACTCTAGTTTTGAAGTGTGTGGACGAGGGTTTTTTTTTTGTTTTGTGAAGAAAAACTCCATCATGTCATGTAAGTTCTTCTTGCTCTTTGTGGTTTTGCATATATATAGGAGGAGTTTGAGTGTGGTATAACTTATTGACTGCTGTGCCATTTAGTGATGTCTCATTTTTCCAGTCAGAAGGCAGTAATTGGAGGGCTGCATTTGAAAGAGTAGATACTTCAGTTTTAAAGGCTGATCAATGTAAACATTCACAGCGGTAATAAACAGGGTAGGGAGAGGTCAAGTTTGTCATAGCTTTGATTATTTCCTCTCAATGAGGTACAATTGAATAAAATTAAGTGAGTCAAATGTAAACCCCCCCCCCCCTCCCCCCTCCCCCTTTAAAATAAAACTAATACCCAGAACAGGGGTTTACAAATCCCCAGAAAGGGATGAACACAGCAATTTAACCTCAAATAGCCTGCTTGTACAATTATACTCAGGTGTTCTTTACATACACCAGTTTCTACCAGCGTCATGATGTCATCAGCAATTCATAATTCATGTCAATCATTCACGTACAAACTGTATAATAATCAGTTGACTTGAGATAAAAAAAAAAAAAGAAAGTGACCTTAAATACACAGGTGGCAGTAATGGACAGGGTCTTTAGAAAACTTGACAAAGTCAACAGATGAATAGTTTTAAATTTGAAATTGTAATTTTATGTTTCGGAACTATATTTAATTTTCAATTCCTGAAAAATTCATAATAAAGCTTCTTTGCATGGGTTGAGCATTCACTCAGTCTAAGGACAGTTTGACAGAAAACTTTTGCCCCGAGCTAGTGATAGAGAGCAAGTTTTGACATTGACTTGTTGTGAAAGTGACTGCATTGGACAGGGACAGCTGTGGGCAGATTTAAAATACTGGAAAAACAAAAAGGTGTCACAGAACAGTGGCTGTGCTGCAGGTGACCTCCAAGGCAGATTGGACTTTGTATCAAATCAATTTTTCTTAAGAAGGAAAGGTGCGGGGATTTTTGGTGGGTTTTTTTCTTCTGCAGTTTCGAACAGATTTTTATGAAAGAATTCTCACATTTTTATGGTCAAAACATGCAAGTAGGACACTCAGATACTGTACATTTTATAATAAATTGAAAAGTGTGCAAATGTAAATTTATCAAAGGACCAAATATTTTGGGTTTTGTTTTTGGTACAGGAAGGAGTGACATAGAATTTTAACATGATACTTTATGGCCATATCAAGGTCAAATTCAAGTGTTGTCTTGTATGGTGACCATCAGCTTTTTGAAATTAACTATTGTGTGTCCAGTTCAGGGTGAATCTCCTTGTTTCTTGTCGGTTGCAGGCAGCATTATCAATTAATTTCTTCATTTGTGTGTGCACTTAGAGTTTAGAATCACAGATGATTTGTGTTATATTGTCTTAAATGATTATTTTTTTTGGTTTAGATTTCAAACACAGTTTTGTGGCCGAAATTCCTCTACTTTATATTACTACAGTGATTCTTGTTTTACTACAATTTTTTTTTCCATTGTGAGTAGAAAGGTCTGCTTGGCATGTGAGTGGTATCCAAACTACATACATAAGACAAAGGAATGAAATCTGAAGTGAGAAAGCAGATGTAGACATGTTATTGGTTTGAAATGGATGCAATGTCATGTTAAACAACCCAGCTTTTTTAGGTTCACATCAGTCCAACTGCATCTCAGTTAGGAACTCTTATTTTATCACCGTATCCAAACTACATACATAAAAGACAAAGGAATGAAATCTGAAGTGAGAAAGCAGATGTAGACATGTTATTGGTTTGAAATCGATGCAATGTCATGTTAAACAATCCAGCTTTTTTAGGTTCACATCAGTCCAACTGCATCTCAGTAAGGAACTCTATCACCAACCCCCTATCCTATCCCCAATTCAAAAGCCAAACAAAAAATACACCATGAAGGAAAAATAAAGAAGTTATGCATGAAGAGTGAGGCCTGTTGGAACAAATCAGCTTTGAACACTCTTGATGCAGACTATCACTATAATACAAAAAAAACAAATAAAAACAAAAAAATACCCTGAAAAATTCTTTCATTGACCAAACAAACACTCTTGGCCTTACTGCATTATAAACGTAAATGGGCGAGTGTTGCAATACACAATTTCTACCTGTGTGTATACCATTTTGATAGAGCAATCTTTAGAAAAACAATCTCTTTAAAAAGAAACAAAAGTAAAAACAAAACAGCTGTCTTGTGTTTGCAAACTAAACATGACATGTAAGAACTTTATTTTAAAAATCCTTAAAACTGATTAATAAGATAGTTAAAAAAGTAGGCCTATAATTTATTCTGAAAAAATCATGATCATCAGAAATTAAAACGTTTGATACTAGATCAGGGGCGAAGGCTGACTTGTTTGACAGGGTAATCAAAGTGAAATGGGACCAGATAGGGCCTGTAGATATGACACAAGAATCTTACTCGAGGCGGCGACTCTGAGTTGTGAATGAAAACAAATCCGGAATTCATATTGTATGTTCAACCGCCAAAATAATCGGGAAAGTATCTTATTAAATATCAGTTCCCACTAAAATTAAACTTAACTTTAGATGTGAATACATAAACATAAAGCAAAGAAGCAGAGATGTCAGTACTAGATCTATATGTTATAGATCTACCAGTGAGTCTAACTCTTTGGTAGAACATGACAATTATTATTTTTTAAATTTCACATTTGGCTGTTTTTGTTATCCTTTCGCGGCCAGGAGCTGGTGTCATATAATCGAGGTCACGATCTGATTATAGGACGGAAAAAAGTCGAGGGAAAAAAAGCAAGCACAAGCAGCAGTCAAGAGATTATTAAGAGTTAGTTCCCCTCACATTTGTGAAGTAGACTCGACCAGTGTTAGTTAGCTTACTTAATCAGGCTTGTGATTGATTTTAACTGTGGCCCCAAAGGGGTGAACAGGGTATATATGTGGCAATGAAACAGCTTTGACTGCCATGCACATGTTCCCTTCAACTCTATTCCAGCCTCACTTTATTTGTTGATTACGAACGTCTTTTGACATTTAATTTATTAGGTTTATGTTTAAGGATGAATTTGACAGCGACAATGTTTCAAAATTAGAAAGGGAAGCAGTGATTATTTGATTATATAGACGCTTCGCCCCTGTACTAGATATCTAGATCTATTAAGAAAGAGTTGAAAGTAGGGAAAAAATATGTCAAGACCTTGCAGGGCTTTTTTTTAAACTCGAAGAAAAAAAAGTTACACATTGAAAAGAAAAAAAAATTAGATCTAGATCTAGAGATCTATAAGTCCATGGTTGAACAGTGCATAAAAATGTGTTGCATTATATTCCAATAATTAGGCCTACTCGCTGCTTGTTTTGGCAAGAGGGCTGTGTGAGTGGAGTGGAGAACCAAGATTGAGGAGGAAAAGCTCACCTTGACTGCACTGCTCATGAAATAATAGAGGACAAAGCTATCAAAATCTATTACAAATGAATTATGTTGAAGACTTTTTGGTGACTTCACTTTTGAAAATCCCTAGGCTTAAGTTTATTAATGTAATTGATACGTCTATTATAATATCCCTCTTAACAGAAATTGTTTCATCACCAAAATCTACAATTGACAGATCTTCCTTTCTAGTTGTTTGATTTAAAGTGGACCCCTCATTCAATATCCCC